ACTGGGATGGGAATAACTGGGATGGGAACAACCATGGGCCCAACACAAAATATCCAAGACACGTTCCCACCTTTTTTTTTAGTTTAAATACCTTAAAATTGGGGCTTTTCTCCCCTCAGCCCTTTGATTTTGTGCCCAGAGGGAGTTTGGGATCCGCTGCCTCCCCAACATTTGTTTTGAGGGGAAAAACCCCCCAAAACCCCCCAAATATTTTGCCCAGAACAGTTTTCCCGTTCCGGCGACGCCATTTTCCGTCGGCTCCCGCGGGAATTCGGGGGGAAAAAAAGGGGGGAATGGTCATTGGGAGAGGCCGTGGGGGGTCGGGGCCACGGCACCGACCCGGAGCATCCCGGGAGCGGCTCCGGAGGGGGAGGGAGGAACATCCTGCACTTGCCTCTGCTCGTGCCCGAATTCCAGTCTCCATAACCTAGAAAAGAGCAGGAAGCAATCAGGGACGGTCCCAGAGCCCCAAATCCACCGGTTTTCCACCCAAATCCAGCAGGAATCAGCCCTGGGATGTCGCCCCGGCCCCACAAAAGCACCTTTGGGGCAACAAAAACCTCCCCGGGTTTGAATTCGAAGCCTTGGGAAGAGTTTCCAGGGCTGAGGATTTTGGAAATGAGGGGGAAACGATGGGGAAAAGCCCAATTCCTGCCTGAAATGGGGGGATCAGGACGCTTTGGGAATGTTTTATCCCATTCCTGCCATCCCAGGACGGACATTCCGGTGCCCTGTCCTGGCTCTCCTCGTCCTGTGACGTTACCTGGGGGTTCCTGGTGGGATTTGATCCTTAATTAGCGGCCCCTCATCACAAAAATGAACTGATTAATGAATTTTCCCTCTCTTTTCCTCTTTCCAGCCTCAGCCAAACATTCCCATGGAATACAGAGGTGAATCCCTGCCCCAGGTGAAGAGAGGCCGCTCCAGGAGCCAGAAAGGGAATAAAAATGGCGAAAAAAGGGGGAAAAAAAGGCCAAATGACACAAAATGGGCACAGAGGGGAGGGACGGTGGGGGGTGGGTGGAACTGGGGGGGTTAAGTGGAACTGGATTGGGAAATAAATCCAGTATCTGGGAGGAATTGGGTCTGGTCCCAGTCCCATCGGGAATTGGGTCTGTCCTGGTCCCATCAGGAATTGGACCTGTCCCCATCCCAGGTCTCCTCAGGAATTGGATCTATCCCTGTCCCTGGTCCCATCAGGAATTGGGTCTGTCCCTGTCCCAGGTCTCCTCAGGAATTGGATCTATTTCTGTCCCTGTCCCATCAGGAATTGGGTCTGTCCCATAAGGAATTAAGTCTGTCCCTGTCCCATTCCCATCAGGAATTGGGTCTGTCCTGTTCCCATTCCATCAGGAATTGGGTCTGTCCCATC